GTGTCGGGCCTGCGAATGGCCATTACCAACAGCAGGAGAATGATAACCAAATGATTCAAGAGGCTTACGCCATTCCGCCGAGTGCCAGAGGCAAAACGAAGTCCACTGGTGAGCCTTTTTGGGGCCGTTGTGATTTTTGGGAGTGCCCTTCGGGGTCTTGGGGTCGTCTTGGGGCCCCCTGAGGATTCCTTGAGCACACGCGGGTTGTTTCGTAGAGTTCTGGGAGGGAGGATTACGTACGCCATTCTGCAGTGAGTGCGTTCTGCGTGGATGTGAGGGCCATGGATTTGTTATGAGCGCGGATCTATCGATCTGGGGGCCTCTTGAGGGCCTCTTGGTGCAACATTGGAAGCATTTTGAGATTTGTTGTTTGAATAGGAGTGGTACTTTATTCGCGCTGTTCGTTCGAGGTCTGAGAAATGAATTCGTGGGGAGTGCACTCTTGGGGCGCTCTTGGGGACCTTTGGGGCATCTTGTGGCATTTCTTGACCCATCTAGGGCGATCGCGGAGTGACTTTGGCCTGTGGTGGTCATCCTGGGGGGGCTCCAGGGCCGTCTTAGGACCGTCTTGCGGTCTCTTGGGAGCATGCCCGAGGACCTTTGAGGCTACCTTGGGCTCTCCTGGGACTTCTTGGAGCCTATCTGGAGCTCGAAAGTGCCCTGTCGAGCTTGGCCCCCCCCCCGAAATACGAGGGTGGACAGCCAAGCATCTCGCCCACGCCCTCTCGCTCTGGAAGGTGGGGGTCGGCGGATCCCATGGGCGGTGGCCGGTCTTGTGAAGAATCTGGCGCTGAGTCAAGAGTTGCACGAGCAGATCATAAGCCCGCGTCTTGTGAAGTGCTTGTGCGATCTGGCGACCGAGAGCGAAGATTGGCTCGAGAGCTCAAAGAGCAGCGCTGCGCTGCACCATCTCGGGCTGACATGCGACGAAGGCAGCACCTGTGCCGCAGGCGGGGGCGCTTGTGTTGAAGGCAGCACCAGTGCCGCGGATGGCGAGTTGTAGGCTGGTCTGATGAGGACCTTTCTCGCGATAGGTGCCGAGTTATGGAACCATGTGTGCCAGCGAGGAAAATGATATTGGTGCAAAGGTGGTTCAGGCCTCTTGCGCTGATTCTTCATCGGGTTTGCCTGAGGGTTTCTCATTTGTTTGTCGAGCAACTCTTGGATGCGGGGTGGTTCGTCAGAGTCTGCCCTCGGCCTTGCTCGGGGCTCCTCAGCGTTGCTTGGCAATGGTGGCCCCCCCGCGTTGCTGGGGTGCCCTTGGAGTTGCATGGCAATGCCAAACGATACCAATGCCAAGTGATGTCAATGTCAAGCGACGCCAAGTAGTGTCAAGCAATGCTAAGCCATGCGAAGCAATGCCAAGCGATGCCCATCAATCCCAAGCAACGCCAATCAATGCCAAACAATGCCAACGCCAAGCAATACTAAGCAATGCCAAGCAGTGCCAAAAAGTGCCAACAAATGCCAACCAATGCCAAGCAATGCAAGGTAACGCAAGTCAAAACTAAGCAATGCCAAGCAATACCAAGTACTAATGCAAGGCAGTGACAGGCAATGCCAAGCAATGTCAGATAGTGCCAGTGCATGCCAAACAACTCCAAGCAATGCCAAGCGATGCCAGGTAATGCCAGGCAGTGCCAAGCAACCCTACGCAATGCCAAGCGCTGCTGAGATATGCGGCATAATGCCAAGCAGCGCCAGGTAACGCCAAGGAGCACCAAGCAATGCCACTCGGCGCCAAGCAACGCCAGTCGGTTCAAGCCAAGCTACCCAAAATGCAAAGCCGTGCCGGGCAAGACTGGCCTGCCAACTGCCAGGGTCGGCCTTTCTCACCGGATCCGCGGCGGGGGCGCCGCGGAGGGCGAGCTGGCCCTCTTGGGGGCCTCTTGGGCTGCTTGTTGGGGCCTCCTGGGGCCCCCCTGGGGCGGAATGCTCGGATGTTCAGCTTGTGCTCCCTCTCGTGGGCCCCCTGTGGGGGCGTCTTGGGGCCATCTTGGGCGCCGTCTTGGGCGCCTTGCTGGGCCATCCTGGGGCGCTCTTGGGCCGTCTTGGGGCCCTCTTGGAGGCCTCTTGGGCCGTCTTGGGGTGGTCGTCTTGGGGGCCTCTTGGGCTGGTACCCACGCCGCCGGTAGCTGCTGCTGCGCCCGCGGCCGCTCCCAGGTTCCAGGTTGGCAGCAGGTCACCAGCCTTGAGTCGGGCGTGTCCCTCTACAGGAGGAATGTTCAAAAATAGTCAAACAATAGTCTGGGAACGATTTCTCTATTTTCGTTTTACTGTTCTAGTATTTTCTGACTGTTTTTCATTGTTCTGCGAGAATCCGACTGTACGAGGACATACCTGACCTAACACCAGCCGTGGCTGACTCTGAAAAAGGGGTTCAGAGGGGCATGTGCATAGCGAACATAGCGAGCGTGCTGTCGGCGTCTGGCTCAAGACGCCGGCGCCCTATCTGCTTGGACTGCCTGAGGAGTCGGCAGTTCACCATCGCATTGGAAAAGTGTCTTGATCACGCCCCTGGTAGATGCATGTAGCTTGTTCCCAAATCCTTTTCCACACGGTCCTCATCCTGCTTTTTACTGGCTGCTGGCGCTTCGGGGTTCTCGCCCGGCCGCGCGCCGCCTGTGCTTCGCGGGCCCCTAGCGCGAGAGCTGCGGCATCAGCCCGCGGCGGCTCTGGTCCCAGACGTCTGGCATTATACTTCAAAAAACTAGCCTGTGGACGATTGTTTGACTCTTTTGTTTTATTGTCAATGATTTCTGACGGTTCTTTATCATTCATTCCAAATTCGCCTGTATGGGGGACATGTCCGACCTAAGTCTGGCAGCGGGAGTTGGGCGGGTATCCTTGAAAAAAGTAGAAGAAACGCCACAAGAAAAACATTTGGCGCTCCGCGCGGATTTCTTGGATCCGCGCAGGGCCCCCCCCCCGGCGGCGCCTCTGGCGCCGCCCTTGGCGCGCTCCGTGCGCTGGGGAGGGGGGTCCGGCGCGGGTCCAGGAAGAATTCCGCGCGGCGCGCCAACTGTTTATGTTTATGCCGTTTCTCTTCCCTTACATCTTCCGCTCAACGACGCGACACCGTAGACTGCGGACTCGGTGGCCGCGCTGCTCCGGGCGATGCCGAAACGCAAGAAGCCCGGATCGGGCGCGTGGCTCGCGACCGAGCTCTGGCTGCTGCCGGCAAAGCTGCGCAGGTCTTCGACGAGGTTGGGCCTCGGGGAAACTGATCCCAAGAGCTCGTGAAGCCAGAGCAGAGGGGCTCATGTTGCCAAAGGCGGGTGGCGGGGGCGGCCCCTGGGAGCGACGGCCCATTTGGCTGATCACGGTCCTGTACACGCGGGCTGCTGAAGGCCCTGTTCGTTGGGAAGGAGATCCGTGTTCGTTAATTGTTTGACCGTTCTTCTTAGGTATTCCGGTATTCCTTCAGTTTTCTTTGGGACGACTTAAGTTTCACCATGGACAGGGGTGCTTCTAGGGTTCCTGATGACAGCGTTTCGACTCCGCCGCATTTGGGCGGCTGGTCTTGCTCGTCTGTTCGCCCAGCGGCGCTGCAGCTGCAGGGGAGGGAGAGAGGTGGCAGCAGTGCGCGGAGGAGCCCATTCCTATCGGAGGAGGTGGCCGGCGCAGCGCCGGACTCGTGCAAGGCGTTCGATAAGGTCGACCTTCAGGCCCTCCCGGGGCTCTGCACGCGTGCGGGGTCCCCGACCGAGTGTCCAAGCCAGCGCTTGCGACCTACGCCGCCCGAGATGCATCTAGGAAGAGGGCAGGGCCCTCGGCGCCCCGTTGCGGCCAGACCTGGTCAGGAGGAGAAAAAGCACACAGACACAATGAATCGTCGGTTCTCCAGAAAATATGGGAAAATATGGGCAGTGGGGGGGAAGACAGGAACCCAGAAACTATGGGAAAATATGGGGAACCTTTTCATTTGTGTGTATTTATTTGCGTGTCCCAGGGCCCCTTCACCTGGGGTATCCTGCCCGGCTGCCCGGGCGCGGTGTTCATCCTGGCCGTGCCGACGTGGCCGCGGATGGGAGCTACTGTCGGGGTGACCAAAGAAAAGGGGTCCAGCGGCAAGGGGGTGGTGCAACAGATTTGGTGCAACAGATCTGTGGGGTTGCAATACATGTGGGGCGTGCAGTACATTCCAGGGCGCAAATGTGTTGCTGGATTTCCGCGCGTGCAATGCACTACTTGCGATCCAGTGCAACTCTTTTCTCCAGCGCAATACATCTGCAATACAATTGACCCGACTCTACTGCACCACCCCCCTTTCAGCCGGACCCCCTCTTGGGTCACCCAAACATTGGCAGGACAGGCGACCTGGACCTGCTGCGCCGACGCCTGCGCGTTGGTGACTTCACCCTGTGGGCGCGGGCGGCGGCAAGGGACGCCGCGGGCGCCGCGGAGGCGGCGCGAGACGCGCTGCGCCTCGCTCCTCTGCCTTCGCGGCAGCGGTGGCCTGGACGCCCGATCGCTCCAAGAGCCAGCAATGTGCGAGCAGCGGGGAGCTGCGGCGGTGCTGCTCGCTCTGGAGCGGCCTGAGGGCTCGGCCTTCAGACGCGCGCGCGCCGTCTTCTCAGACCCTTCGACGCCCTGTCGCTGCGCGCGGGGCAGGGACGCCAAAAGTGTGTGTGTGTGTGTGTGCGTGTGTGTGTGTGTGTGTGTTTGTGTGTGTGTGTGCGCGTGTGTGTGTGTCTGTGTGTGTGAGCGTGTCGTCATCCATGCCCAGATGACTTATGGCCGGCAGCTGTTGATAGCCCCCGTGCGGCTTGAGGGCTCGACTTTCTCCGCCCTGTCGCTGCGCGCACGGCCGCGACGCCAAGAAGCGCGCGCGCGCGCGCGTGTGTATGTGTGTTTGTGTGTGTGTGTGTCTGTGTGTGTGCGCGTGATTGTTTGTGTGTGAGCGTGTTCGAGAGAACGTGTTTGTGTTCCGCTTCCTGGCAAGCGGCATGGTGACCAGCGGGCAGGAGAGGACCCCTTACTCGGCTCCTCTCCCGCAGGATGCCTTCTTCGACGCCGCGGGCGCGCTGAGTGCCGCAGCCAGGCTGTTCGACAAGAAGGCCCACACCCACACGCTGCTGGGATTCGCCGCCAATGTTGCCGCTGCATCTGCCGCTGCGGGGATCAGCTGCTGATGCTGCCAGGATGAGTGTGCATTCCGTTTCAATGTATTTTGAGGCTCCGGGTGCCCCCACTGGTCCATCCAGCAATGATCTGGGTAGTCCTAGGGTTGTGCCCATCCTCAGGCTAATTGTGTTTACTCCGAGCAGCGCTTGCACTCACAAGCTCTCACTCTAAAGCGAACCAGGTATGATCTGGCGCGAGCGGGCGGGGCCAGGACCGGGATAGATCGCCCCAGGTCCGAGACATCCTCCAGAACCGCCGGACCTCAGAGATCAGGGTCCTGCCCAGAGGGTGCCACAGGGTCCCGCCCATGGTCCCGATCGGATCACGGCCATGGGGTCTAACTGCGCCGGCGGGTTTGTTTTGAGTGCCGGCGTTTTTCTGGCAGTGTCGACGACCTCACAGGGCGCGTGGCGGCATTGGAAACGAAAGATCCCACATCCAGATCTTCATCGGGGGCATCCAGAACAGCACCTAGTATGACTTCAACTCGGGTGTAGCCAGGACCCCAGGTGAGGGGACCCGGTTAGTAGTAGGTCCTGGGAGCCCCTAATTTGGCCAGAGTCACTAGAGCAGGTCTGCCGTAGCTGGTGTTCTTTCGGGTGACGGCAGTTCCGGTTAGTGGAACTGGGCGGGGTGTGCGTCCCCCAGTACACATCACTAAACCAGGACCCACAAAACCCAGTTCTGCCAACGCCCGATCAACGATCAGCACAAAACTACAGGAATTTGAACGTGAGGTTGCCATGTTGCGGTCGACCAGGGCATGCTCAACAACTGAGTACATTCCGACGATTCTTGTGATTGGGGGCCTACCGCATGACACCCTCCTTCAAGCCGAACGTTGGGTTGCAGAAGTACTCTCTGAATCGAGTTGTGAATTGCCATTACACGTCTACGAGAAGGGACCCCCAGCAGAACTTTTTAAAGGCATGCTTTTCTCAGAATTCAAATCCGCAGAATCGTCAGAACAAGTTGCTCCAAAACTTCAAGCAGCAAAAACAACAAACGCCTAAGGAAGGGAACCGCCGTGTCTGGTGCAACACGGACGCTCCAATCGAGCAGAGGGCCTCCACTTCTTTACTGTTGGGATTCCGGTATCTCCTCGCAAAGTGGGGATTCGACAAGAAGTTCCTGAAGGTCGATGGGGACTCTGGTGTACTGAAAGCTGTGGGGAAGCACATCTTGAAAGCATCTGTTCTAAATCTGGAAGCTGCGTACGCAATGGTTGGACACTGATTGGGAGATTTGGCAAGAACTGCAGCAAGCTCCAGAATGGGACGACCTGCAGAAGAAGATCCCGGAGCGTTAGGGCATGGTTGCGGCCAGCTCGTCCAAGGGGGCGGGCAAAGGGCACAAGCAACAATTGAAGGTGCCAGGGGCGCACGGGCTTCGTTTCATCCTCCCGAGACAGCACCTTACCGGGAACTCGCCGTGTACTGCGACGTCTTGGGCCGAACGATTTGGGCAGAGCTACCAGCAGTTTTTGCTCCAGGCGGCAGTTCTCCAGCAAACATTCTTACCACACAGTCTTCGGTTCTTAACGTTGATACTTGGAACGTCCGTGGAGTGACAAAGATCGAAACACTCGAAATGATCAAACACTTGGAACATTACCACGGGTGTATTGTGCATGCCAGAAACACGAACATCGAAACCATACGATTATGACCATACGATTATGACCAGAAGATGGGTACGCAATCTTTCTGCCAGGGAACAATGCAGACGACAAGCATGCGCTGGTGTTGTTATTGTAAAATCACCGCACGTCGTATACATACTCGGTCGTACAAACATGTGTCCGAATGCTTCTGCATGTTCTCAAGCTTTGCGCCAGTGGTACTAGGATTGGAATCTGGTGTATCTATTCCCACACAGTGTCAAACTTCTGCTGGATAGGACAGCGCTCTACGACAGAGCGTACAGGACATGCCAGTCAAACTTCAGACAACTTCTTCTGGGTGACTTCAACGCGCGACTCGGCCAAACACGCGCTGGATAATAATATGTAAGAGGTGAACATGGATGGGGTCGAGAAGCGGTACATGAAGTGGAAGTTCCAAACAGGGACTTCTTGCTCGAATTTTGCATGGGCCCCAATTTGGTGATCGACAACACGTTTGTCGAACAGCAGTTGGAGGGAAAAGTTACTTTCCAAAAGTCTGGCACGTTGCCATTTGATCCAAAATTTGAAGCATTACGTGGTATTTTGGATTGGGTACTTTTTCCAACATCTGGCCTTTTGCTTTTTGGAGCGCGGGTCACCGGGAGGCGGCGTTGGCGTCTGACCATTATTTGGTGACGTGTTTTCTGGGTCTCGAGGCATCGACCGCCGATCGTCAACAAACCAACGCATTCGACAGGGCGGCGACGCGCGATACGAGGGCCCGGTCATCCTTCGCGAGCACCCTCAGCGCCCACAGTGCCGCAGTAGGCAAGGTGCAGCAGACGTGGGTGAACATGAGTAATGCGATCGCCTGGGCTCAGGCGGCCCTGCCCCGCCAGGAATGCAAGAAACGAAAGCCGTGGATCACACAGCGTACTGTGGATCCGGTAGGACAGCGGAGCACCGCTCGGGCCAATAACGATCCAATGGAAGATAAGAAACTGTAGAAACAAGAACGGAAGTCCGCAAAACTTGACACAATTTTTTGGGTGGATCAACAGATTGTTGCTGGAGGTTGGGCTTCGCTCAGACGTGCGTGCCAGCCTAAGCCGCGCAAGCGAGGACGGCTGAGAAGTTTGCGCAGCGATCTCGTTGACAACGCGGACAGAGCATGGCAGAGTATTTCGAGCAAGTGCAATGGAAGGTGCGCCCTGCGACATTTGTTACAAGTCAGCCGTTGGGACTGGTGTTGCCGATCGCAGAGGAGGTTTTGCATCGCGCGAGGTGGGTGCAACGATATCAAATTCCAAACAAGGAAAGGCGGCGGGGCCTGGACGACATCCCAGCTGATTGGCCAGCGTTGGCACAGGACCCCAAAGGACTGGACACCATCACGAAATTGATCAACCAATGTTGGCGCGAGAGGGACACTCCAGAAGACTGGCGGCATGCAGTCATTACCACAATCTACAAAACAAGGGCCCAGTGGATCAGTACGACAGATACCGCCCTATCAGTTCGCTGTGCGTTATGTGCAGTTCTTTCCGATATCATTGCTGAAGATATTGCAGCAAGCAGGGGCTCAGGATAGATTGAGTGGAACAAAGTCTTGGTTGAGACGGCGAAAAGACACAACCGGCTCAGCCGACGCCGTTCATGCCGCCCGCAGACACATATATATATATATATATATACATATATATATATATATATGAACTAGCACATGCATCGGCGGGGCCTGGACGACATCCCAGCTGATTGGCCAGCGTTGGCACAGGACCCCAAAGGACTGGACACCATCACGAAATTGATCAACCAATGTTGGCGCGAGAGGGACATTCCAGAAGACTGGCGGCATGCAGTCATTGCCACAATCTACAAAAACAAGGGCCCAGTGGATCAGTACAACAGCTACCGCCCTATCAGTTCGCTGTGCGCTATGTGCAATTATTTCCGAGCTCTTTGCTAATTATACTGCAGCAAGCAGGGGTTCAGGATAGATTGAGTGGAACACAGGATTGGTTGAGACGGCGAAAAGGCACAACCGACTCAGCCGACGCCGTTCATGCCGCCCGCAGACATATATATATATATATGTATATACATGTATATATATATATATATATAAGTAGCACATGCCGCTCGCGATGTTCCGTGGCCCGATTGGCGCTCGACTGGTAAAACAGATCCCGACTCCATCAATGTGCAGGTTCTTCTCGATGCACTTGCAGCATTTGGTGTGAGAACGGGGGCTATATCCCCGTATATCATAGGGTTGTCCATTGTCGCCGCTTCTGTTTGTGATGGTTACGGCACTGCTCGTCAAGCACACGGAGCGTAATTAAAAGACGACGTTGTTCGAGCGTTGTCTTCAGGAATCTTTGTTTCGGTATTCTTGCACGCAGGCGATGCAGTCTTAGTCGGGAACAACGAGCGACATATGCAACATGTTTGGATGCATTTGCTCGCGTTGGTGCAACTATGGACACGTTTGTGCAACAGCTTTTGGATGCAGCGCGTGCTTGGGCGATTTCAGATTGCTTCGAATCCATGGCGATTTGCGCATTGCCGATCCCGCTGGGAAGTTTGTGATTCCCACCGCGCACATGAAGTACTTAGGGGCTACACTGCACGACGCCGGGAACATAAAGGAGGATTTGGGGAGAAGGTTCAGTTCTGTATGGTGGGATGTCAAAAAGGTATGCGCAGGCGTGGAAGTATACGTCTATCTGTGCGAAGCGAAAATTGGAAGTGTTCGGGACATTTATCACACCCAAAGTCATGGATTATGTAAGTAGCGCGTGGCTCGACACAGCTGATAGACGTAGGTTCGATGGGTTCCAAACCCGGCGCTGTCTTCTTATTTTGGGCATTGAACCACCTTATATTCCAAGAGTGTCCAATCAAACCACATGGGAACATAACATTACAAATACATGCCACATCGCAGCTATTGAAGAGTCAAGTGGTGTGGTTCGGAAAGGTTTGCGGCAGCAGCGACGCGGATGCACTGAGACAATTTACTCTTATGCCTAACCGTGTGCGTCCAGCAACAAGCAATGTGAACATATATCATGGGATGCCGTGACATGTATGGACAACGTGTTTGTACGACGAAGTAAAGGATTGCTTCCCATCAGGGTAACGCCTATTTAAAGCCGCTGTGGACGAACAGTGTTGAACATAGTTTGCATCAAACAGGCCGCCTTTTCACGCCGTTCAATTTTCTTTGTTTCTTTCTTCCTCCTCCTCCTTCCCTTTCTTGGCAGCGCAGGCTGTGTTGAGGCTGTTTTTCCCTGCCCCCCGCCCATGCGCGGGACGGGGTTTGG